TCTAAATCGACCGGCCTATAGTACAAACTCTGTGGAGACTAAAGAGTTGCAAAAACAGGTCAATGATATCATGGAGAAAGTATACATCCGTGAAAGCCTAAACCCTTATGTTGTGTCCCAACTACTTGTGCCAAGACAGACGGTAGTAGGCGCATGTGTGGTGATTATAGAGAAATCAACAACATCACGGTAAAGTATCGCCACCCTATTCTTAAGTTAGATGACATGCTTGATGAGTTACATGGGTCTAGTGGCTGTGGCGCCGTGCACCTCAAAGGAGATCTGTGACAAGTACAACGCCATTCATAAAAAAGTTTTTCGACTGGTTTGATATAAGTTTTGACAAGTTTGGTTGAACCTTTAACTCCAAACCATACAAAAGTGTGCCAAGCAATCTTCAAAAAGCTGTGGAAAATTAAAACGAGTTTCTTTCAGAGAGCACCATACATAAGGAAACAGCCTAGATTTCTCAAAAAATAATCTAGGGATTTTTTGTTTCATATAAACATATAAGAAACATCTAGGTTATAAAAAAAAAAAAATTACTCTAGATAAGTACAATTCTAGGATCACACGAACCATACATCCACATTTGAATTATTTTTATTAAAAAAACAAACAACACTAAATTCATATTTTAGTAAATTGTCTTATATATATATATATATATATGCATATGTTATATGATTGATTATTTACAATATGATTAAGATTATATATTTATTCGTATACGAAATTTTTAGAAAATTATCATCTTATTATTTTATCAAAATTGATCTAATTATTACATTTGCTCCGACTCGGGCTAGTAAAATTTATTATTTGTCATGTTTATTAAATTATATGTCATTTAATAAAAGATATTACTCCCTCCATTCTTATTTAAATGATGTTTTAGAGGTTTTTTCTCAAATATATGATAATCTCACAAATCCATGCAAAATTTACTTATTTTTTGTTACTTTTGACTATTTATATTCTGCATGTTATTTTATTATTAGTTAAAGTCAGTGCTCAAAAAATCGCTAGGCGGTAGGCGGGCGGACGGGATCTGATTAGCGCCTAAGTCGAAAATCGGTGATTAATTGCTGATTAATCGGTGATTAATTTTTTGATTAATTTATATTATATTTAATTTTTAATTATTTATATTAATCTTTTTTAGATGATTTTGGAACTTAAACTCGCTTATATTTGATTTTGATTTGATTTCATTGCAATTTAGTTGAATTAAAATTGTTATTTAGGGATAAGGTCATCAAAATCGTTAATTGGTTAAGTATTGAATGTGATGTCGTTTTTAATTGAGAAAGAAAAATAAAAAGGCTGATTTTAGGCCGATTTCAGAAAAAATATGGAAATTTTATTAATAAAATTGGGTCAATTTCAAAATTTTTGAGATTTTTTGAATTAATTTTCAAAAATTAGGCGACAATTTTGTTTTTTAATCGGATTTAGGCGGTTTTAGACGGTTTTAGGCGGTTCTAGGCGATCTTAGACGATGAAAAATCAGAGAACCGCCTAGAGCCGCCGCCTAGCACTTAGTCGGGGCAGTCACCTATCGCCTAGTACCTAAGCGGGCAACTAGGCGGCTAGGCGGCCAACTAGGCGGTTAGGCGGCCGATTAGGCGACTAGGCGGCCGAGTTTTTGAACAAGGGTTAAAGTTGATAATAAATGAGGTTTTAATATAGAAAAAAATTAACTATTCTTATTTTGTAGGCACACTACTAAAAAGATTAAAAGGGAGAATTTTATTA